TATTTAAGTTTATAATATGAATCTCCATATATGTGATGAGAAGTGACCATTATGACACATGTTTTGATAAAGAGAAAACTTATGTATTTGTAGGATAAGTATATGCATAGTATATTTGTTAAGACATGTGCCTGTAATATCGAGCATTATAAACTTAAAAATATAAATTAAGAAATTTTATACTTTTATAAATTAGAACGGCATAAGTGTACAATTATGATTATTATAGAGACTATGATAAGCATTCTTTAAAAGACATGATTTTTTTAATAAAATATATTCTCATCTATTTTTTTGTGTTTATCTTGTAATTCTAATATAGTTGTTTCCAATATAGACTTATAATCATAATTTTTTGGAGTCTCTAATAGTTCGTGTAGTTATATTTTTGGATTAGGAGTCTATATAGAAGCCATATATGAAATAATATTACGAGATTCTAAATTTCTAAATTAAATTATATATAACAAGTTACGAGAAAGCCACAAAGTAAATAAGAAGTGGTCATAAGTAAAAAAAAATGTTACTGTAACTTAAACGGGATTAAAAGTATTACACGGATTGTTAATAATATAAAAATATGTAGTATGTATATTTGTACACTTATTTTTTATTAAATTGCTCGTATATATACACGTACATCTAATTATTATAAAAACAATTCGTTAAATTGAATTGTTAAAAATATGTCCATTTGTCTGTAACATAATTGACAAACAGAAATTTAATATTCTTACGTTGTAAATCAATAAATGTCTTAGCCAATTGTTAATAGAGAATATCCTCTATTTTACATATTCTTTTATCTAACAAATATTATTTACTTCTAAAAAATAAAAATTTTTCGAAATTGCATGTATGTCTCACTATAAAATGAAAACAAACTTCTGTATATCTGTACATCTATTCATGGTAGACATGTGTTTAATTGCCCAAATTATTATACGTATTTATTTTATTTTTATATATAGTTATATTTATTTCTTAAAATTATATATTTAAAAATTATCGTTAAGCCACAAATGTACTCTCTACATAACATTTTATTGCAATTTTGTTTTGAAGAAAAATATCTCATATTTGTACGTAACGATATCTAATATAATCCATATCTACAAATTGTGTAAATGAAAAATGACAATTAAGAAAATTACTTATAATGTGTAGAAAGAATTATGTTTATTACCGATCCATTCGTTATATTTTCAATGTATTTCTACAAATTATTATTTATTATACTGATATCTAATTCTTTTATTTTATCAGTCGCTTTATTTGAACGGTTAACTTGATCCGTTATTTACGCACTTTTAACATCTTCCTTAAATCTATTTTGTGGAATTAAGAACCAGAGAATCTTTTTACATAAAAACGAGCCCTTGTGATCATGAAAGTGAATCAAAGTGTGTAAACTAATATCACAAATATAAAAATAATATATATTCGAGTTTATATTATTTTATGAATGAAAATGCTTTATCATTACAAAAATGTCATTTGATCATGTTAAGAATACATTCTTTTTGCTGATACATTTGATTAATCAAATAATTTTCGATCAATTTGAAAAATAGTTTTTTCCTTTTCTGAGAAATTTAATTTTTTGAGTTATGTTACTTTTAAAGCAAGAGAGCGATATGTAAAATTTTGAGCTCTCTATTAAACATTAAATCTAACGTCTGGAAGACTAGGAAAGAAGATTGAAATTTATTCTTCTTTATTTGATTAAGAAAAAATTAACAGAAAGAATAGAAAGGTATTTTAGGTATTATTTATGTTAAATCATTAAGTAATATAATATATTTTTTGACATATAATAAACAATTTTTTAATATATAAAAACATTTCAGGAATCAAATATACGACTTAGATCATTTTTATCATCGGACACAAGTATCTCATTCCAATTTGTTTCTCAATATTTTGTTGTTCACCTATTAACCCTTCTTGTACGAACATGACAAAGTTATCATGCTTCATTAGGAACATATTGTCGCTCGTCCGTATTACTTATATATCGTTATATATGTATATATGATATACTTTCTAATTAACGAAAATCTCGTAAATCTCTGTTGGCACACACGAGTCCCCCGTTCTATTTTTATCAATAAATGTTTCGTGGCAGTACTTTCGATTCAGTACTTTCATCACCTGCTAATATTCGGTGGACCCCGTGAAAAATATTGCACATAATTCGATGGTCATGATAAAGAAGATTTGAAAGGATCCTCCCGAATCGATTGGTCCTTTTTAGGCGCATACGAGGCCGAGCGGAATTCAGTTTTTAATATCCGTTCGCCGCTCAGAAGAAGTAGAAGATCCAGTACACGGCATTAAACAGCATGAAGCTGACTGGGAAGATGATTCGCGAATATTTGTCTATCACGTTCACATCCTTGATCTTCGGCATTGACACACGTAACACGGAAGCTCCTCTACGTAGAACGTGTAACATCTACAAGATTCAATTGCAATTATATTTAGACTTAAATATATTTTAATTTTAAATTTAAACTTTAAAAGCGATTTACAAATTTAGGAATGACTTATCATTCTTTCCATTTTGTGCGGTCATTATTTTTTATAATTTTTAAATATCTTTTTTACAAAAAAAAAATGTAAACTGCTAAAAGGCAACGAAAATACTTGAAACATTCCCTAAATATTTTCTATATAGTTGCATTTGTCTAAGACATGCCTTTGCCTTCGAATACCTTTGGCTTATGCGGTCTTGGACCTCTGTATCTAAGACCGCTGTTTCGACTATGCGTATTGTAAGCGGCAGTCCTGGACATACGAAAACTCGGCGGAAACTTGGCCGGGTCATGGTCCCTTCCAGCTCCCAAAGTCGATGAAGCGCTGACTATCCCTGACCTATTTCTAATGCTCGGCAGAGGTGACATTCTGAGGTCCTGAAGTTCTATGATATCCGCGTCCGTGGAGCCAGGAAAAGGCGAACTGACTTTGCTCCCTGAAACGAAATTGGATTGATCGAATAAGTAAAAAATAATATAAATTTTAAGAAATTTAGTAGTATTAAAGGAAATTAAATAAAATTATTAAATGTGTATCCAGACAGCATGAAATATGATAAATATTTATTAATATTTATTTTTTGAAATGTTATATAGATATTTTATATAAATAAAGCTTTATTCGAAATATTATTAAATATAGACTATAGATAAATATTTTATGTAATATTTGATAAATATAAATAAATATTTCTAAGTATTTCTAGATATTTTTTATTTAGATTATAATGTTTCAGTATTTTCTAAGTATAATCTCTAAGTATTTTCATAGCATTTACAATAAATATTCACAATACAATTAATATTTACAATATTGGGTTGCCCGGAAAGTTCGTACCGATTTTGAAGGAAAATTGAAACGCAGAAGATTTAAATTTTAGTATACATTTATTAAATTATATAGGTTAGTCGGCACGAACTTTCCGGACAACTCAATAAATATTTATGATCCGTGTAATCTAAGACCACAAAAATATTTACAAAATATTTAAAATAAATCTTATAAATATTTTTGTAAATATTTATAAATATTGTGTGCTGTCTGTACTTATACGAACTATTTATTATAGATTGTTTTAATAACATCGTTATAATTATACGTATGTACTTATCTATATTGTTACTCCTTTGGATTAATTATCTTATCCGATATTTTAAAATTTCATTTTTATCTCGTAATATTTTTTTCGAAATGACATTGTCTTCGAAAAAATTTGAAATAACTATCTATTATTAACCATTAAATAGTTAATTCTCGCTTAATTACTCATATAGATAAAATTATATGCAGTAAAGACAGATACCAAAGCAAGAGATAATCTATGATTTTGATAAAAACTTACTTATATAAGAATAAAAAAAATATTGATTTTATTATATTCATGCTAGAGAAAGTCGGAATCTTATTTAACATAAGCGTTGTGGCTATATAATCGCTACAAAATTATTGATCCGATATTTGGCTTAATTTACCTGTTTTAGAAGATAGTATTTTCTTCTCATCGATTTCTTTCTTTTTAATCTTCTTCTTCGCTTTGGCGCCCCAATACGTGTAATTGACCGCCGCATATTCTAACAAGGCCGCGAACACGAAAACGAAGCACATCACCAGGTAGATGTCAATAGCTTTCACGTAACTGATCCGTGGCAGTGAGCTTCTAACACCTGTCGATATGGTTGTCATGGTTAGAACGGTCGTGATGCCTGAAAAAAAAGACTGATATATTACACAGTTTATATTTGCCTGTAATAAGAAAAAATTTTTTCAACAATTTATTGAAAAATAAAAATCGGAAAGCTAAAAGTTTATTATTACGAGAGAAGAAATAAGTAATTTCGGGTTTAATGGAAATCTAGTTAATGGAAATCTAGTTAAACAATTTGATGAAATTATTTTTAAGACGTACCAAGAGCTACTCTTGCACTGGTAGCTTCATAATTGATCCAGAAACTGACCCAGCTAAGCATCACGATTAGTATACTCGGCAGATACGTTTGAAAAACAAAATATCCGATGTTTCTCTGAAGTTTGAAGCTTAACGAGAGCCTCTGATAGATGCCAGTCGCCAGCTTCTCCTTTCGATCGTTGGTCTCATAGCCGATAATCGTAAATTGCGGTAATTCCGCCTCCTTAACTCCATGAACGGGAGTTTCCTTCCAATACATTAGTACATCAAGCACCGTGTATCCATCTGAGCATTCAGAATAATAGTATAACAGAAGTATAACAGAATAATCTGCATCTCATTAAAACTCACCATTCTTTCATTGATTTAAATAATATTTTTACTAATATCCTAGATAATGTTATTCTAATTAATAATAATAATAATAATAATTTGCATTATTTCGGAAATGTAAATCTACAAAAAATTTAATTTTAAAAGAAGATAAAAAATATTTCTTAAAAATTGATTTTTTACAATATTTAGGTATATATTTTTAAAATCTAAAGAAAATAAGTACGTTGTGGTTTTTTATCTTTTTATGTAAAAGACATAAATATTTACAAGAAGAGAATATTAATAGATAATATTCAAATAATTAATGTGAATGCGTATTCCAATACGTACAGCTTTCGATTTCAACTGTACAATTTTGTGAATCGAGGGGATAGTAATGCAAATCCATCATGCAGGCCAGAGTCGTTGTGAATCTCATGCCGTATGTGATCGAGCCGTCACCAGATAATCTAACGAGTTTGTTGCGCTCGGTAACGTCGTGCAAAAAGCTGCAATAAATTCAGTAGAATCAGTTAAGGCAAAGCTGAGGAGATAAAGGATTAAAAAGAAAGATGCTTTTAAATAAAATCTTTAAAAATAAAATATAATTACAAATGCTTAAAGGTTTTGCAACGTCATATAATTTGTCATCATAATTACCTATTTTTATCATTGGCAAAAAACGTATCCGGGACCCAAATCTTTTCCGCGAAATCGCCACTTAACGTCAGGACTTCACCCTCGTGCGAAAAGGCGAGTCTTTCGTCTTTCCAATATTGATTTAAGTACATCGTTATCGTATAATCCTTAAATACAAGTAATAATTAACATTGCTAATAGAACTTGTTATTATAATTAATTAAAACAAATATATGAAATATATTTACATAATATTCATTCGTTGTTTTCAGAAAGAGGAAAGAATAGAAAGGATATAAGAATAAGAGTAAAAAGATACTCGAAAATACATTTCAACACAACGGCGCTATCATGGATGAAAAAGAAAGAAACTTTGTTGGACGCATTGACGATCGAGTGGTTATCCAAACCCAGGGAATACGAATCCATTTATAAATTGCGACAGGGATATGAATGTCGGTGAGAAAACGAATTTTGTATTCTGACTGGAATATATGATATTCCAATACAAATGTCTCCAATATAGCACAAGTATATCAATTTACATATGTGTATACAAATGTATACACATATATATTACGAGATTCGAATGAATAGTTGTAATATAAATAAAAGATATAGAATAATAATTTAAAATATTGTTTTAAAAATTTAATAAAATATTAACTTCATGTGATTAGAAAATTAAATTTAATTAATTGCATCAAAGCCTAGCTCAAATAAGTGGATTAAAAATTATTACATCAGAAATATTCTCTCTCTCTCTCTCTCTCTCTCTCTCTCTCTCTCTCTCTCTCTCTCTCTTTCCTTATAAAAATATTTTTTTTTAATTTTATTTACTCACCATATTGACTTCTGAAATTGCATCGAAACTCGCAATGGTGAGATCCATTCCAACTCGTAATGGATCACCTTTAAAAAATGATCTGTATTTTAATCGTGTAAATAATTTAAAAAATATCGTAATCTTTAGAGTCTTAATTTTTTTACGATATGTATGTGAAATAGTCAGGAAAAGAAATATAGTTTAAAATCTTCGTCTAATCCGTTGATAATATCGGAAAATTATTTCCTCTCGTTGCACGTTCGATTAAAATTGCTGATTGCGATCATGCCTTGTTGAATGACGTGGAAAACTTCATTAAAAGCTTTCCATATCGTCCTGCTTCCGAGCTCTATTCTAAAATTTAATTCTATCAAATATGGCTCGAAACCCGAATATTATAGCAATAGTTTTATTTGTCAAGTCCATTTCAATAGGTTTTTCTTATGATTAGTGTATTTTTAAGTTGCATGTTTTTTATTAATATTTTTATAGGTACATAAAAAAGGATTTTATATATATATATAATATGTATAATTTGTTTCATTTACTATACAAATGTAGATTATTTAAAATAGTCTTAATTATGTGTAAAAATGTGTAATAAAATATTACACATTTTTTAAGATAATCATATTGTTTATTTTTTATTATTTATTATTATTTTTTTTTATTACTCTGGATATTTTTTTTAATATCCTGATCAAGAAATGATTTTTTTTTTTAATTAAATAATGTATATCATATACATCATTATGTGTGTAAACTTGTGAAAAAGCTTAATTTAAAAAAAATATACAAAGATCGATCTAGAGCTTACCACCAAAGTTCGGTCTTAATCGAATATCGTAGCCGTCGAGTATCCTCGAAATTGTCTGCGTAACGTTCTCCAATCTATCGGACATCTCGGCACTCTCTAGAGAAGCCCTGAAGTACGAAATTTCGAAAAGATCTTAATAGAGCTTAAAGCCGTTAAAATATCTTTATTAACGAGTATTTTTATCAAACGAATATAAAATAACTATAAAATAGTTTCGAAAGTATTTTATAAATGGAATTTAATATTACATATTTTTCAATT